GACAACTCGTCTCGTGTGAAAAGTGTATGCGTGGAGGCAGTAGGTTCAGCCCCCCTGCGGGGGGCTCCACTATTTTGTTAAACTAGACACATAGTGTGTCTTCAAAGTACATGCGTGGACTCTCCACTGCTTTAAAATTTCCATTCACTGCTTTAAAAGACTTTCCTTTGTTTATACATGTACTATTTCCACATATATATTAGTCATTTATGCTTTTTAATACTCAAAATAACTGCTACATTTTTCAACTTTTTTTTGTTAATAATTTTTGAATAAACAACGAGCGCGGGCTGAAACCTTCTGAAGGTCATTTAGGAGGATAACCTTGACAACATTCTAAAATATCTCAAGGTCATCCAAGGATGACCACCTCCATGTACACAATTACCCAATGTTGCTATCATTACATTTAAAAATCGATATCTCGAAAACTATGCATCGTAGCGCATTGTGGTTTGCGGCAAATGGCATTGACATTACTAGATTTTCCGCTGAATGACGTTCCGCTCAGTCGCTACATGCCAACAAGTTGAGGGAGCGGACGCCATATTTAGTAGCGGTTTTTACTTATGCTACCTCGCTACCTGAGCGGAAAGTGTTACCAATCAACATCATGGCTCAACATCAAGTCATGGCGACTTGTAGTGAAAAAGGAGATACTTTTATTGAAAAAGTATACGAATACAAAAATAAATTTTACCGCGTAATAGAAAGTGCAGAGTTTCATAACCGTCTTGCATCAAGTAAGTTAAGAATAAAAGAGTTATACCTAATTTATAATTTTTTATAACCTTATAATTTTAACTAACCTCTCTTCTTGTAATATATTTGCATGAAATACTGGAATTATTAGGAAAAATATTAATTTTTTATTCTGTTATTACTGGCTGTACTTAAAAATCTATAGTATACGTAACGTGAACGTATTAATTTTCAGTACTGCCAATAATAATGAAACATGCCTTAAAATGCAGGTAATATAATTTTATAAATTGTATTTGATTTTTAAATTTGCTTTATTGCAGATCCAAATTTAATGGAGATCTTTTTCAATAATTGTGATACACAAGTCAGTGAAGAGACTGCTGTAGCAACGACGGAAAATGAAACAACAGGTAATATATCATTTGCTGTTATTATAATGAAATATAACTATTTTTAAATGTTTCGAAATGTTCCCAGCTTTTCCATTCTCCTTCAGGATTTAGCACATAACAGTCATAATCGTAGACGTAAGTAGCGCACAAGCTTTGGAATATTCTGACTGTCAGAGAATATACCAAAGTTTGTGCTTTACTTACGTCTATGACTGTCGTATATGGCTACACCATGTTATATGCTTTGACCCTTCAGCCACTTAATTTTTTATTATATTAATGCTAAATGTTTTAACTCTTTACAATACATGTTTTTTTTTAAATAAATGATTAAAATAACTACTAAAATACTTATTGTTCTTTTATTTGCAGATGCTAACAAAGAAAATTTTTACTGGAACAACCAAAATACAAAACTCTTATTGCATTTATACCAAGAACGCAAAGAAAAATTTAGAGATCCCAAAGTAAAAAAAAAATCCTTGTAGACTGAAATGGTGAACGAATTTAGAAAACACAATTATAATGTGACAGTAGATATTTTGGATAGAAAAATGAGGAATATGAAAAAAACATACCGAACAATCAAAGACAATCAAAAATCAAGTAGCCGAGGAAGAATAACCTGGGAGTTTTTTGAAACATTTGAAAACATATTCTTTGATGATAAAACAATGAATATCGGACCAACATTGTCATCTATGCAATGTATATTTCAGCCAGTAAGAAAATATATGAATATAGAAGACACTTTTCTGATGCAAAATATTCTAAGATTTTTTGTGCGAGTTGAAGTTCTCAGAATTTTCTCAGTTTTTCATATTTTGAACTTAGGAAAAGTTTTGAGGTAAAATTGAAATTTATTTAGTTGTACATAAGTTTTTATAAAAAAAAGAGAAATCTCAAGATTTTTTTAGAATTTATATATATCAAAACTTGCATAGATTTTTGTCATATTTGTACAAATAATTTTATTCTTTTTTTGAGAATTGTTCCAAAATTCGTATAAGAAATCTAAGAAACTGTATAATATTTATATAGAAAAATAAAAAAAATAAACTAATTTTATTAACTTTTTCTATCAGAACTCAGAACAAACACCTAAACAACGGGATTCAGTATCGTCTGATAATTATGATTTGATCAGTGTACCATCAAGAGATTTGACAAAACCGCACTATGATTGTAATTCCTTATCAAAAGATTCAACTGCTTCTTTTAAAAAATCTTTTACGCCTTCGGAAAATTCCACACTGCCTTCAAGAGATCAGAGATCACTCTCAAGATGCTCTATATTACCCTCAACAGACTCAAGACAGTCTTCGATAGATTCAAAATCTGCGTATGATTCTTATGATTCAATAATGTTAAAAATTGTTCAAATCCGGATGATTCACAGCCATTAAAAAGTCCAGCAAGTCCATCTTCAGATGAAGAAGGCAAAAAGGGTACGGTATTAAGGCGCAAACCATATTCCATGAAAGTATTATCCCCATTTTTCCTTTATATGGATAAAACCAAAGTACAATACCAAAGTCCAATCTATAGACATATAGACATATAAATGAAACCAAAGTACAATATACAGAGTTGTTTATTAAAAATAAATATATATTTTATTGATACAAATTTAAAGAATATAAACATATGTAGGTATATATGTATAATATAGGTATGTTTGTAACATTTTTAGTTTTTAGTTATTATCTGATAACACACGCATAATCTGTTCGCGTTTTTGAATAGCAATCATCTGTGGGCACCTTGCGTTTTCTGTATCTGTGCTTAGAATTTCTTCATTTGGTATTTCCTCAATGGCGTCATTGATATCATATTCATCCATTTTGTTTTAAATAAAATTGTGCAATACACAGGCTGCAGCAATTATTTGTTTTCCCAGATCAATATCCTTAATATCCAAATATTTTAATCGTCAAAATTTTGTTTTTAAAAGTCCAAATGCTCGCTCAATTACTAATCAAATTGAACTGAGTTTGGTATTGTATCGTGATTGAGCTACAGATAAATGTCCTGTGTCTCTAAACGGTGTCATCAAATTCATCATTAGTGGGTACGCAGAATCACCAATTATGTGTTCTTCAGGTAGCAATAATGGATTTCTTTCATTTATGATGCGTTGATAGATTGGACTATTTCTAAATACGCGTGCATTATGCATTCTTCCAGGTAGACCAATAAAGCAATCAATAAACTTTGTATGATGATCACAAATGCTTGTAATAAAAAGTAGTTAATTCAATAAAAACTGATTCTCTAAATAAATGTGTTAATAGATTTTATACATTTGGTAAACGTAGTACCTTGTAGTATAATTGAATAAAATCATTTTCTGTTGTAGTAGTCATGAGCATTGTCTTTTGGTTGTTTGCAGGGAATGTGACAACAATCAATTGCTCCTATGACTCCCGGAAATCCATTTGATCTCTGCTCGAATACCTACAAGATAAAAAAAAGCATTGATTAAAGAAAAACATTGATTAAATGCTCAAAAATATTCAGATCAGATTTCTTGTTCTCTGCAAATAGTTTTAATATATAATAATTTTATACTTACATCCATACACATGTTTTTATAAACACCATTTGGCTATTGTATGTACTGTGGCATCAAGTCGACAAGTACACCAACAATTTCTTTAAAAATATTATGACCTGAACTTGTTGGTATATTAAATCTATCTCCTGCTGCTAGAAAAGTTACTGGTCTGCTTAATAACCATATTGTAAATAACACTTTCTTTCGGAGTGGCGCATATTCATCTGTATGTTGTACAAGATGTTGTCCAATAACAATTGATAAGTTCTGTAATTAAATAAACAAGATATATAACAATTGATAAACCACTGATATAAAATATGTACTTACATACATTATCCTGTACAAACTTAAGAGCATGGATGTAAACTCATATAATACTAAATTGTTTACGCATTAACTAATTTTGTTAATAATTTCATTTATACACTCACTTACTTCACAAGTTGCTCTATCCATCCTGAACATTTCCTTGAATTGATCGTGCGTAAACCTCGGAATTATTCTTTCATAATAGTATAGATTACGACGTTTTATTGGGGCACGATGTCTAATGGCCAGTCTACAATGAGTCATTAGTCGTTAGTCAGATGTCGGAAGAAATAGTTATAAGCGTATTGTAACCAATCGAAGGCCTGTAATCGGAGATCGTAAGAGATGGCATTTGGCCAATCGCTTATGATTGCCGATTACAGACTTCCGATCGCCTTATGACACGTTTATGACTTTTTTTGACTCTCTTCCGACATCTGACTAACGACTAACGACTCATTGTAAACTGGCCATAAAGTTTATATAGTTACTGGGTTCTATTAAATTTTGTATGATATTTTTAAAATTGTGTATAGGTATTCTGTCATCCATAAATAACGGTATTAATATTGCCATTAATTCCATTTTGTCAAAAAAAAAAAATATATATATATATATATATATATATATACACACTACAAGTTTTATAATTTGCACAACTGAACACTGAACTGGCAAACTTAATGTATTCGCTTTTGTTTACAAAATAATACTGGTCTGGACGCAGCCATCTTTGTAAGTAGCGATTTCGCGAGCGGATTATTCAGTGGAGAATTCACAGCGGAGTTTGATCCATCAAAAGCAGATGTCTCAACTGTTGAGTCCGCTGAATGCAGCCTTTTTTCTCAGCGAAAGATCTATCAAATACACCTTTCAAATTGAGGAGCCCCGGAAATAACATTCTTCCCGAATGTCCCATGCTGGACCAAATGCACTTAATATAGAAAACGGTGAAACGTAATAAAAAAAAATAAATAATATATGATTATCTGTAGTATAGTAAAATGACAAAATATGCTAGAAAGTTACACCTAATTTTTAGTGCGTGTATATTTTACTACAAAAACAATATTAAAACATTTCTAAACAGTTAAAAAATTATTTACGCATCACGAAAACCATTTATGTCACGTGCGTCTCGAGACTACGGCGACTTTGATGACTGCCACCTAGATACGAAGTATGAGCAACGAAATAACTGTCACATGACACTATAGTTGAATTGACCTGAACATTCTGGATTACCCTAAACAGTCAATGACCCATAGTACCCCGTGGCTCATGGTGCCCCGGTTTCCCCTACATGTCTAATAATAAACATAAAATAGTAGGAAAGCAGTGCAGATGAAGACATTAACAATATCTCAAGAATGACACTGATACATTATATCAACACAAATATAAATATATATATATTATATAAATTGTTCGCAAACAAAAAGTAAAACATTTTACTTAAAATTCCATTATGGTAATGCATTTTTTAGAGCGTCTATCTTTATGTTATTTTTTCTCGTTACTAACATAAATCATATTTAAATCATTTTTTAATTCTTTTTTTTCATATAATTGTCTATATTTTTATCCATACTTTTTTCTAAATAAACTCTTCCTGAATCTTAATCATCTTAATTATTTATAAGAAGTGAGTTTTTTTCTGCATTGCTCGCTTGATTGATTGTAATTTCCACAAAAATTATAGTTTTTTATAACTAAACAATCGAATCATATATAGCTTTCTAAAGGTGTGGTGTATGTACATGTGTGAGAGCACGGATGGGAGAGTGCAGAGAGTGGGGAGAGCCGGAGCAACGCCGGCACTTCGATGTAACGAGTCAGTCAGTCAAATAAATACTCTAGCCCACACCCGATCTCGATCGATACCTTCCCCCGCTTGAACGAGGAAGATACAGAGCAGATGGCGACGAGGCTAAAATCATTATAATCGCAGACGCGTGTAAGGGTGAATAGCGGAATCGGACGAGACGAAAAGCGGACTGGTCTGGATACATAAGCTACGTAAGGAAGAAGTATTTAGGGAGCTGCGGAGCAGAGGAATTCCGGCGAACGAAGTCAGCAAGTTAGACGAACTGCGCCGAATATTGAGAATAGCGGTACAGACCGAACAAGAGGCCAACGAGGAAGAAAAATCGAACGAAGACGAAACCAAAGACGAAACCGAAGACGAGCCGGAAATGGAATACTCAACGCAACTCGATTTCAAAATTGAAGTTGACGATTGGGAACAATTCGTAAAATGGGTAGAGTTCTATTTCGAAGCAAAAGGCATAACAGATGCAAATAAACAAAGGGCGATCTTTCTAACGAAAATCGACGCAGAGGCCTACGCGGTAGTATGGAAGGTATGCGCACCAGCTAAACCGAAAGACGTAACGCTAGCGGAAATCATAAAAAAGGTAAACGAATACATAAAACCAAAAGCCAATGTGACAGTGCTTCGATCGAGGTTCCGGGAACGGATACAAGCGGAGAAGGAATCAGTGGCACAATACGTGGCCATACTACGGAACCTAGCGACCGAATGTAAATTTGCATCAGAAGATGAAGCAATAAATGACCAACTGCTTAGCGGAATCCGGAATAAGGATATTAAAATTGCCCTATTCCGAATGACGGCGCTCACGGTTGACTCAGCGATTGGAACAGCAACAACCATCGAAGAAGCACAAAAAACGGCAGACAAATTCAAGGTTGAAGCCGAAGAAGAGAATAACAACTCGAACAAGGAAGAGAAAACAAAGATCGACCGTTTACAAACACACGGTAGGAACCACGGGGGGTAGCGAGAAAATCCGAGGAATGCGCGTATGAAGCGTTATAGACAGCTACGGTCACCAACTCAACGCAATCAACAGTATCGCCCATCGACATCAGGGCCGTCAAGGGGGCCTACGACAAGACCGCGATGCTTCTGCTGTGGAAAACCAGGCCATGTGAGGGACGATTGTTGGTATCGAGAATGGACCTGCAACGGATGCGGAGCACGGGGACATCTACAAGCCAATAGACCGGGAACCCGCGACAAAATTTCTGTCAAATCTTATTCACCGCCATATTAATAGAATTAGTTGTTTTAATCGAGTAAGAAAGGTACATGATATTGGCGAAATCGGTCAGCGGTACATAGATGCAGAAAATTATAACAAACATGTAATTTTTGAACGTGTCCTTGTCAAATCTTATTCATCTTGAAACTTGTTTGCTAGTTAGTTTTTAATAGATAATTTATGAAAAAACGTTTCTTACACTTGGCAAGCAGGACAAAATTGTTCTTACAGGTTGTAAACAATGTAATATTTCACGAGGGTGATGTAAAATATTATTCACTTTGATGAGAGGTAAGTTTGAACTGTAAATAATACAAAAAAAAATTTTTTACGGGTGAACGCGGACCAAACGAATTCTTACACTGCTTTGAAACTAAAAATTAAGAGCGCCCACGACGCTCTTTTGCTGCAATGCGCACACGGTAATTTTCCTTTAATGTAGTATGTTAGTATATAAATCGGGTTTGTCAGTTACGAACATGCAAAATAGATGGACAATAAAATGTGGAATAATTTTTCATTGTATAATATTCATTCTTTTTATTAAAGTAATACGTATAATGTACAAAATCAAATATTCTGAATCTCATCGTCACTGTCTGAATCCTCAGAGGAGGAGTTCAAATTTATATCTGAATAATTTAATTCTAAGTCGTCCATAGAATGACCAATTTCATCGTCATCCATTTCCTCTGATTGATCTTACATAATTCCTCTGATTGAAATTACATAATTCATGAATATTTGCTAAGAATTGTAGAGGAATCAATTTTAAATAACAATACAATACCTTTATTTTCTTCATTTGGATTCTCCACAACAATGTCGTCGATACTTATTGGCATTTGATCGCCTTCAAACCATTTGAAGGAGCATGTGTCCTCCTCTAATTTCCAACCAAAGTCTTCCATCATGAGATGATTTATCTGTTGTCTGTGCGCGTTTCGCCAAATATTTGCGATATAGATGGATCTCAGAATGTGTTGTTTTAATTCTGCTTTGCTAGGAGGTAGCACTGACCCATCAAAGTTTTTTTCGTCATTTTGAAAATGTTCTCTTTATCACTTAATTTGTAAGTTTTACAAAAAGCCGCGACTCTCGCTTCATTAATACATTTCAGTTTACAATAACCGTAAATTTTACATACATACTCTTCGAACGCTACAATTGAGGTGTCAATGTTCAACTCGGTGACATTACAAAAAGTCTGAATAAATTTTTTATTGGAAATGGATGACGATGAAATCGGTCATTCTATGGACGACTTAGAATTAAATTATTCAGATATAAATTTGAACTCCTCCTCTGAGGATTCAGACAGTGACGATGAGATTCAGAATATTTAATTTTATATATTATACGTATTACTTTAATAAAAAGAATAAATAATATACAATGAAAAATTATTCCACATTTTATTGTCCATCTATTTTGCATGTTCGTAACTGTCAAACCCGATTTATATACATACATTTATATACATTTATATAACATACTACATTAAAGAAAAATTACTGTGTGCGCACTGCAGCAAAAGAGCGTTGTGGGCGCTCTTAAGGTAGTCGTCTCGTCAGGGCATGTATTAGATAAAGTTTTCGATTTTGGATTTTATATCAAATTATATGATCAGCTTTGCAGTCGATTTTTTCTGTGGCTCCTTACCGACTATTTACTCTAGAAAATCGATCTCGAAAATCACAAATTTTGCATTACTTCATACAGAAAAGAAGGCTCTATCACGGTTTCAATCACATATTTTCGTATTTTTCGATTAGATGAAGTAAGAAAAAAACATTGCTTTTTGTACATTAGATTTCGAAGAATCCGATGCAACCATAAAATATATAGGTTACCGGAGATTTCGCTGCTAATTTTTTAGTTTATTTTAGTGAAAATGCGGTAATCGAGCAGACATTTTTTGGTCGAGGTGAGGTTGGGAAGACTTGGCAACGCCGCTGGCTAATCACTGTAGTTGCAGGTTATGGGGCTCGTCTTTCTTAGCCGAATTGGATAGTGATTGACACTCCTGTCATGCGTTTTGAAACCCTTTCTCAGTAATTGTCAAAATTTAATCGAAAAGAAGATGATAACCTTTCTCGACGACTCGCATGATCAGCTGATCAAAACGGAGTCAAATGAGAAAAATCACATAATTTGGAAAAAGTAACATACTTTGTCACGTATGAAATTTTACACCATAATTCATAAAATTATTTTTCCGTCAGCAAAAATTGCCTGAAATATATTTCTGAACGTGAAAACTGGTGAAAACCTACAAACAGTCACATGACTAGCACGTAGCGAGACGCCTACCTTAATTTTTAGTTTCAAAGCAGTGTAAGAACTCGTTTGGTCCGCGTTCAAGCCGTAAGAATTTTTTTTTGTATTATTTATAGTTCAAACTTACCTCTCATATAAATTTCAAAGTGAATAGGGAAAACCGGGGCTAAGCCGACGCTATTTTTTCAAAGGCAATTTTTAATATTTAATTAAAATTTTTAGGCAAATTCAATGATATATATTTAAAGAGTGTTTCTTCAGGTACAAAATTGATTCAGGAAGTTTTGCTGTACGTCGCTTTGTTTTGCCGCCAGGAAAGGAAAAGTGACGCGAAGACAAATTTTCGAATTGAAAAATGATAGGGCGAACTCGACACCTCGCCGGGGCAAACTCAACACTTTGTTTGATCGACACAATTTGATCTGGAACTTATTTTTTTATTGTTTAAAAATAAAAATACATTGTTTATCAAATAAAAAGACATTGTGTATTAGAAACACAAAGTCAGAATAAAGTAAACAATTATTTAAAATAATGAGAAAAAAAAAGATTAAACTTTTAATTATCTTTTTTTGAACTGTCTGAAAAACAATTTATACACGTAAACTCGCGATCAGATGTGCGCACACATTCGTCATGAGCCATACGGTTGCATAAGATGCATTGTTTGTTATTACAAGCTAATGAAATGTTTTCCGAACACACGCAACAGATGTTCCTTAAATCGTCATTGGAATCGGACGAAACAGTGACCTTTTTTGCGATAATGTCACTTTAGGTTAGTGTCGTCTTTGCCCCAGTGGCGTCGTGTCGACTTAGCCCCGAACGTCGTTTTTTACTTTTGTTACTCCAAAAATATATAAATTTTGAAAATATGCAAAAATTATTATCGGATTCGTATAAAGCATCGAATTTTCCATCAAAATCACTTAGCGGTAGATTCGCAAGAGTAAAGCTCGATGAAAGAATAGACATTTTCGAGAAATCAGAAAAATTACTTTTCACTATCAAAAACACTTATGTCGCGTTAAAAATTACACTATAACTCAGAATGTTACCAAATTCCGTTGATAATACTGGCACATAAAGACGCATTTACAGTAGCAAAGGCAAGTTTCTACAATAGATTTAAATTGGCAAAAAGCCTAGTGTCAAGTTCGCCCCGCTGTCGGCTTAGCCCCGGTCTCCCCTAATATTTGACATCTCTCGTAAAATATTACATTGTTTACAACCTGTAAAAACAATTTTGTCCCGCTTGCTAGGTGTAAGAAACGTTTTTTCATAAATTATTTATTAAAAACTAACTAGCAAATAAGTTTCAAGGTGAATAAAATTTGACATATTCTCTGCTTTTTTTTCACTCCCCCGCAGGGGTTGTCCCACCCATCAGTTGTAAGAAATGACTTTTCAATATTAGAAGGTTGTACTCTATCAAATATATAGGGTTTCCCGATGAATAAGATTTGACACAAATTTAGTGTTACGGGCTCCCGGTCTACACAATTGCAAGGAGCGGACGCAACACGAGAAAAACCCGGTCAAGAAGATGCAGCAAAGCAAAGAATCGAGCGAGTCCGAGCCGGAGTCGGAATGGTATGCAGATTTGTTTTCGGTTAGAAAGAAATCGAGAGTAAATGTAATTCAATTAGAGTAAAACCACAATTTCTATGGGTTAAGGTAGAAGGGCGAGAGTTGAACATGGAGGTCGACGGCGGCCCGGATGTCTCATTGATAAGCGAAAAGGAGTACAAGGATAATTTTGCGGAGACACCATTAGTCGCCTCGGATACAACACTAAGTTATTACGGGGGTGAAGGGAGCGAACCGATAGGAATGTTAAGAGATGTAAGCGTGAATACGGTAAAATTAAAACGACGAAAAAACTATACGTGATAGGGAAGACCGGAAAACCCCTACTCGGGCGCAATTGGTTACATAAATTAGGGTTGTGGCCGCTAGGGATAGAGCAGTCCGAACAAAAAATAACGGAATTAAAACAAATAAAACAACAGACGAAAGAAAAGGGGAAAATTCAAAAAATGGTAGGACAGCTCTTCACTAAGTATTCGCGAATTTATTCTCGCCGGGACTAGGGAACTAAGGTAAACGGCCCGATTTGTGGAACAAAACCGGTTGTGGAACACTTTAAAAAAAAAACTCATAAAATTTATATTTAAAAACAAAAATAAACAAAAAAAATTGCGTTATTATGTACAAGTCTTCAAGTGTATAATTATCTAGAACTAAGTACTGTTGCTATAAATATTTAAGTGTAAATAAAATTTTTTAGAGATGTTCGTCTCCACACCCGTGAAAATTGACTCCTATTCAAAGCAAAGCAGCTGATTTGGTACAGCTCGCAATTTGGTATAAACTATTAAATACACATAAATTTGCAAATCTGTATTTAATAGTTTGAATATTAAGAATCGTAGATTCTAATTTTTATCATTTTTTTGTAAGTTTGATAGTTTTTTATTTATTAAATAGATGTTCCCTTTTAGGAACTTTTATTTTTTCAATTGCCGTATTATGGAACGCTGAATGAGAGCGTTCCCCAGTTCCGGCCTTTGTATGCTCGCTTGATGGTCCTAGATTTTGGCATAAGTTTTTTATCGTATTATTAAAACAAACACGATTTTTATTGTGCATTTTTATTCGAGTATACTTTTTTCATTATTTCACAGCAAGTAAGTACATTGTAATGCAAAATTTTGTTAGAAAGTAACACGTAAACGAAAGATAACCTCAAAAAGACGTTCAGACGTTCTTACGCAAATGCTTGTTCCATAATCGGGATAAGATGTTCCAAACATTGGGTCAAGCTTGTTCCAGAGTCGGGACAAGATGTTCCAAACTGGATCAAGCTTGTTCCAGAATCGGGACAAGATGGGCGTATCCCGTTTGGACACGTAACGGTTCGACACCGCTTGATTAGACACGCACTTTTGGACACGTAACTATTGAACACCGCACGATTCGACACCGCATGATTCAACACTGCACGATTGGACACCGCACGATTGGACACCGCATGATTCGACACCGCACGATTCGGCACCGCACGATTCGACACCACACGATTCGTCACGCACAATTCGACACCGCACGATTTGACACGCTCGATTCGACACCGCACGATTCGACACCGCACGATTAGAAGCGAGAGCTGATATAAAAAATTAGAGAGTAACAGAACTCGCAAAGAAAGATATTAAATAAAAAACTATTACGTTTTTTTTAATTGTGTTTATTTTTAATTTTATATATCATCATATACATAGTGTCATCATATACATAGTCTCAAGCACTACCCAACGCTTGTCGAAAGGTAGAAGGAGTCGAGATTAACATAAAAATCGCCTACCATTTTGCGGCATTCGCAATAACTATCGATTTTTTAAATGTTAAAATCGGTTACACGACAGTTTCCCGAAAAAGTAGAGGAGATAACGGTGGTACAAAAATCCCTAGACAACACAATTTAATTTTTGTAGATTAGTAGCACCGCGTAAGTAGTAATCTGTTAAGTTAGAGTTAGATGAAGCCTTTTTCAAAATATACGCGCACGAATAAAAAATAATCAAACCTTTTTGACACATGCGTGATAATGAAAGGACAGTATTTGTTATTTGTTTTCAAACTTTTACGTAATCTTCGGTATTTCTATTTTCTATTATTGTTAATTTTGTACAAATTATCAAAACTAATAGGAAAAAACAAAATACAATTATAAATATTTTATTTCCTTTTCTGTTTTTAATTTTCTTTTTCAGTAAATAATTTATATTGTTAGAATTGTAAGAATCGGTCTAACAACTTCTCCAATTACGTTGCATATAATGCATATATATCTAAATTATTTTCCTATATGCCAAAATAGTTCACGCGCATACACTTTCCACGCGAAAAGAGGTGCCACATGGGTTCATGACGCGCTTTACAAGCTCGTTTAAGTACATGCGTGGGCGGGGGGATTTTGCTCCCCTGCATCCCCCTCCCCATGCATGTACTTTATAATTTCGCTTTACAACTTAGCATGTACTTTAAGTTGTAAAGCGAGTTCCACGCTGCCTACCGGCGGGGAGGGTGCGGGGGAGGGGGGCCGAAGAATAGTCAAAATAAATTAATAGATTATTTTATTAGCTTATCCTGACTATATTAAATTGTAGATGTTATATGCATACACACACACACACACATGCGGGGGTGCAAGGGGGGCCTTCGGCCCCCCTCCCGCATCCACCTCCGCCGGTAGGCAGCGTGGAACTCGCGTGAGACACTATATATATGACACTATGTATATGATGATATATAAAATTAAAAATAAATACAATTAAAAAAAACGTAATAGTTTTTTATTTGTTATCTTTCTTTGCGAGTTCTGTTACTCTCTAATTTTTTATATCAGCTCTCGCTTCTAATCGTGCGGTGTCGAATCGTGCGGTGTCGAATCGTGCGGTGTCGAATCGTGCGGTGTCGAATCGTGCGGTGTCGAATCGAGCGTGTCGAATCGTGCGGTGTCGAATTGTGCGTGTCGAATCGTGCGGTGTCAAATCGTGCGGTGACGAATCGTGCTGTGTCGAATCGTGCGTGTCGAAAAGTGCGGTGTCGAATCGTGCGTGTCGAAAAGTGCGGTGTCGAATTATGCGGTGTCGAATTGTGCAATGTTCGCGTCGAATTGTGCGGTGTCGAATCATGCGGTGTCCAATCGTGCGGTATCTAATCGTGCGGTGTCGAATCGTGCGGTGTTAAATAGTTACGTGTCCAATAGTGCGTGTCTAATCAAGCGGTGTCGAATCGTTACGTGTCCACAAGGAGGTCACCCGACAAGATGTTCCAAACATTGGGTCAAGCTTGTTCCAGAATCGGGACAAGATGTTCCAAACATTGGGTCAAGCACGCAGATGCTGTGCCAAAATACTTATAATACATATTAGCTGCTTCAGTTTTTATTGATATTTAGCTTATAAATGGTCGATTTGAGATTTTAAAAATTGTTTCGATTTTTGGAAGAGTTGGCTTACAGAATTCGATAAAAAATTTTCACATTAATGTCTTTATTAATTTAAATTTGAATAACATCTGAAACCTCTACTGAATTTGTTCCATAATCGGGCTATTTACCTTATACGAAATCAAAATTTGTGATTAAAATGAGAGTCAAAGCGGTACCAACGTATAAAACCGCAAACGCTACCCTTTGCGTTAAAGGACAAGGTAAGCGCGGAAATCGACAGATTAGTGGGAGAGGGAGTTCTCTCACCGGTAGAAACTAGCGAATGGGGGACGCCAATCGTACCGGTTGTAAAAAGCGATGGCAGTCTAAGAATATGCGGCGATTACAAGGTAACCGTAAATCCGAAATTGTTAATTGATAGACACCCATTACCCCGTATTGAACACCTTATTGCGAATTTACAGGGGGGGGGAGTTTTCTTTTCAAAAATAGACCTGAAAGAGGCCTACGCGCAGGTACTGGTGAGCGAGGAATCAAAACAAATACTAACGATAAGTACACATAGAGGTTTATTCCAACCAAATAAGTTACCGTACGGCATAGCCTCGGCACCGGGATTCTTCCAAAGACAAATGGAGCAGATCTTTGCAGGATTGCCGGGCATAAGTGTATTCCTCGACGACATAATTATTACCGGCAAAACGCTGGAAGAAACCGTACAGAGAACGAGCCAAGTTCTTGATAAATTGAGCGAATGCGGGTTGAAATTAAAAAAAGAAAAATGTGAACTATTAGTTCGTAAAATTCGATATTTGGGCGTGGAAATAGACGAACACGGGGTACACGCACCGCAAGAACGAGTAGACGCAATAGATAAAGCACCGGCACCAACTACAAAAAGGGAATTGCAAGCTTTTCTGGGAATGTTAAATTACTACGCAAAATTTATCAAGAATCGGGCCACGAAACTGTATCCATTGTACGGTAATTTAAAAAGGGATAAATTTTACTGGACGGACACATGTCAAAAAATCTTTGAAACAACTAAACAGGAACTAAAATCAACCGAGGTACTTATAAATTACGACCCGAATAAAAAATAAGTTTAACGTGCGACGCATCAAACTACGGCGGCGTCTCGGCGATACTTGCACATTAGTCCAGTCAAATTAGCAACAATAGAATAAATAACCGGAAAAAAGCTATAAATTGGTGGAGACCTTTATCTTGGCATACTATTGAACATACTAAAAGTCCGGACCTCTATTTGCAGAGCTCGATCCGCCATCTTGAAAAAAAAAGTGCTCCAATTCAGTTTTTCCCTCATATCTCGGTAATCGTTAATTCTATCGTAATGAAGGTTATTATAAAAAATGAAGCTTATTAAATTCTCTATAAAAAAGGTCCAATACATTTTTTTCATATCTTTAATAGTTTTTCTGTAATACACTATTGAATATATGGAAATTTTGTATTTTGTCTCACGCTGTCATAAAAATCACACTCTCGGTGTAGAATTTGTAAGAAAAAATATAAATAGACAAAAAATATCAAATGTGTGCGTGATATTTCTCGTACATATGAAAATTTCGCAACTCTTATTATTTAAAATTGTTATACACGACTAGTACTGAAGGTAGCGTCGTCTACAAGATTCATCTGAGCCGTTTTCTGAGGTTGTAAATCTGCAGGGCTATGATCATCATCTCGATCTTCAACATCAATTACGAAGAAATCGTTCTCGTCAAGCTTCCAATGCTTGACAGCTAAAGCTTCCAATAATTGTACTTCATTATATAATGCGCTAAAGCTTAAGCTAAATAGTAACGTCACTAGATTTTTGAAGCCAAATTTCCGGTATAAAAAAGCAGCAATGCTGATTAAAAGTCGAATATCTTTCCGAATTATGGCTGCAACTGTAGTGACTACTCGAAGGCGTTCTTTCCGTTCATTGACTTTTTTCCGTTCTTAAGAAAATTAAAAGAAAAATACGGTGACGAAATTGTTATAGCGACAAATAAGAAGATTACTACTATATGTTTCCAAAACAAAGGATATACAATTTTGTCGAGTTATTTGTATGAACAAAAGAAAGTCGATGAACAGGAAAAACGCCTTCAAGTAGTCACTACAGCTACAGCCATACTTCAGGAAGATATTCGCTCACAAATCAACGACACATCTGCATATTCTTCAAGCGATGATTTTTTGACAGATGTAAAAGACTACATACCAAAATCCCTCAATATTTTTCTGGAAAACGTTATAGCTAAAGGAAGAGAATGCCCATCGCAGCAGCTCGAACAAAAATGCATTTCAATAGCGCACGCTATTATGTTAGCGACCAAGCCAAGATCTTTCTTGTTACCACTTTTAATCAGCGTTGCTGCCTTTTTATGCCGGAAATTTGGCTCTAAAAATCTAGTAACGTTACTATTTAGCTTGGGCTTTAGCGCATCATATAATGAAGTACAATTATTGAAAGTTTCAGGTGTCAAGCATTGGAAGCTTGACGAGAACGATTTCTTTGTAATCGATGTTGAAAATGATGATCGAGATGATGATCATAGCCCTGCAGATTCACAACCTCAGGAACCGGCTCAGATGAATCTTGTAGACGACGCTACCCTCAGTACTAGTCGTGTATAACAATTTTAAATAGTAAGAATTGCTAAATTTTTATATGTACGAGAAATATTACGCACACATTTAATATTTTTTGTCTATTTATATTTTTTCTTACAAATTCTACACCGAGAGTGTGATTTTTATGACAGCATGAGACAAAATACAAATATCCATATATTCAACATTCAACTGTGTATTACAGAAAAACTATTAAAGTTACGAAAAAAATGTATTGAACCTTTTTTATAGAGAATTTAATTAGCCTTATTTTTTATAATAACCTTCATTGCGATAGGATCAACGATTACCGAGATATGAAGAAAAAACTAAATTGGAGCACCTTTTTTTCAAGATGGCGGATCGAGCCCTGCAGATAGAGGTCCGGACTTTCAGTATGTTTAATAGTATGCCAAGATAAAAGTTTCCACCAATTTATAGCTTTTTCCGGTTATTTTTTCTATTTGCTATATTTTGATCTGATTTGACTGGATTAAAGGGAGGAGCTGGAGAAAAAAAAATAGTACCGCGGGAACCATAGATAACATTTATGTGCTGAACTATTCAGCTTTACATCTTCACCTACTAACCTTTGTATGAACTACACTGTCTGTTAAAATTGTAGTCTTTACCTCATCCACACTCTTAACCCAGTTTTTCTTTATGCCTATCAGAATTCCACCTATCGCTCTAGCCACGTCTTGCACAATCCTATAAAATCATAACCTATAATATAATGCCAAAAATCCTTATCCTGCCTTTCTAAACCTGCTACACTTCAAAATAAAACCTTTCTCCTACTATTATTACTTCTCTCGTTTCTTTCTTTTTTCTTTTTCACTCTTTTTCTCTTCATCCGTCTTCTTCAGCTCTTCCTTTACTTGCCTACCTCCCTGAAATTCTTCCATTCTATAATCATATTTTCTTCACCATTCCATACGTACTTCTTTCCTTGTGATAAAACAGTTTTTCGCGCAACATAGAATATATGTATAATTATTAGCGTCAATGCATAGTATTTATGGTATACATGTTACGTTCATCTAGTTACTTTTAGTTTATGAGTTTGTTCATTTTGCGTTCTCATACGTTTCGGGCGTCACAACCATGTCACAGTTGGCAACCTTTCTTCTCCGTTTCTGGCATGCATCGCGCGTTCGTTTCCGGTAGTCGTTAAGTTCTGTATAAGAAGCGCACACGAGCAGAGATCGCGAGTTGTAATAAAAATTAAGTTCGTCTCAATTAAAGAGGACGTGTAATTATTCTCTCCCTGCATCCTCGCCTCCCATCACAGTGTTAACACCTTGTATTTCTAATTTCCTACATCCTATCTTCACCCATTTTCCTTCCAGCTTTTCTTTCCTCGCGCGTTCTCTTATCAGTCTTTGCACCTCTTTTTCCTCGTACGTTAGATGATCTCTTCCTCGTGGTCGATAAAGATTTTCTTGCTTCCTAGTTTCCTCTTCTCCTTCATTATCTTTTCCTTCGATTCCCAGCAGTCCATTTCCACAATAACTACCTCCTTTCCTTCCTTTCCTGTTATCTGCATCTTCTTCACCTTTTCTCTTACTCCGAATTCCCTCTCCAAAAATATCTCTGCTGTTTCCTTTAAACTCTCACTTTCTTCCTTTTGTAATCCTCTGATTACAAAATTGTTTTGTCTTTCCTTTTTTTCTCTTATATTTAATTCTCTCTTTTTTACTATTTCCGACACTTTTTCTACTATTTTTTCAATTATAATTTCTTTCTTTTCTCCAGCATTAATTCTTCTTTCATTTGTTCCATCCTCAGAAGTCTATCTTCAAACTTATCCATTCTGTCTTTCAACCCTTTTCCTCTTCTGCTCCGACCATCCTCTAATCTGCTCATTTCTATACTCCCTCCATTCTATACGTCACTCGTTCACGCTCTCTTTCTAGTGTATCTTTTGTGACGTTGCACGATGTGCACGTCACAGTCTTCGCCACTCAAACCTTTGTATTGCGCGCGTACTTCCGAGTTTATAGTTTTCAGGAAGAAGCGGCCGGAGGGCCCGTTTCGGCAGCGTGGCGCCATCCGCCGGTGCGGTGAAGCGCCCTGATCTAGAGGGCCGCGAGTCGAAGCCGCGGAAACGATCCCGGCACTGTTGGGTCGATCGCGAGCGTGGGCTGACGTACGGCGAGGGCCTTCCCGTTGCGCCGGGAATAAGCGAGGGCGGCGGCCCTAGGAGTTACATTGTGAAGGAAGGAAGGACGAGATGTAAACGACCAGCAATCCCGGACCGCAGGTATCGGGGAACAGCGGGGCGGATTGTCGAGTACCGTTTCGCGTTATTTTTGAGAGAGACGCGTAGGTTTGCTTGAGAGTTTCCTTACCTATGCGTCATTGTCGTGAATCCCTTGCCGGGATTATCGCTTTTCCGTTTCGTTTCTACGGGTAAGACATAGCCCGCCCGCTGACTCCCCGTAATAATACCGAAAGGGCGGTTGTTTCTTCCCGACTCGACCGGTGTGGTATAAGATTTTGAGTGTAATCGAGTAACGACGAGCGACCGCGTGGCACCGGCCATGCGTCATGAGTGTGGCGCGTGTTGCGAGATCAAACCTCGCGGATCGGCTCAACAGTCATTAGAGTTAAGTTACCGTTTCGAGCTTTTCGAGATTACCGTTTATGAGTATCGTGTCTATCGATCTGTGTGTAAGATATCTGCGTTTCCGTTAGAGTTAGTTTTCGCGTAGTGAAAGTTTCATCGTGCGGGCTTTCGTGCGTACGGTCGTTCTGGGGCGTGTCGGCCTCCGAGATACGTAAATTACCGCGCCCGGTACGGGAAGTGTGAGGCGTCGGCATACCGGACATAGAGTCAGCCTTCTCGAAGAAGGTGCCCGAAATCGACCTCGATTAACGTTCAGAAATTTAGAGTGAGATTTACTCCGGCTGAGAGTACCGCACGCCCCGGGCTGAATTAGGCGTGAGTATCACGTGCTCGCGGTGTGGACCGCGCGGCGAGGCTTCGCGTTACGTTTCGAGGGGTGTTATGCAAGAACTCCTATAGTGTGTGTATTGTTTAGTTTGCGAGAAACCTTGAGTTATATTGCGTGTATCGTTTAGCTTGCAAGGAACTTTGAGTTATATTGCGCGTATCGTTTATGGTGCGAGAAATTATTGTGCGCGTATCGTTTATTTTACTCTTTCGTTAGTTAGCGTGGATTATTGTGATTGCGGGTATTATTCCGTCGGCGTATCTTATTACTTTTTGCGTATTTCTTAGCGTAGACTATTTCTTGCGTGTATTATTTCGTCGGTGTATATTATTGCGCCTCGCGTACTTCATAGCGTAGAGTGCCCCTTATGGCGAGTACAAGCTACACGTACGTTTTCCGAAAATATTAGTTCTGCGTCCGAGTCATTTACAACGCGCGAACCCTTCGAAAGACCTTGCGTAGTCGGGGGACTGCGATTGATCGCGGGGAATATTTCGCTCGCGTCCTGTAAGTTGTAACGCTATTATCCAGCTTTCTCTTATATTATATTTTGATTTACATGTTACTTGAGTACTTTCTTTTGTGTTTGTTTCGCCTCGCCAAGGTCAAACCCCTCTGCATTCAGCCTATGTAAGGACCACGGCCCTCTAACGAAATTCCTGAGCAGTCGTTGCGATCGGCCAGAGCGGATGTGTCATGACGTGTGAATTAAGAGTTGTGTCGATAATTAGAGTTTATGTCGGATCTTTGTAGAGTTCATGTAGAGTACTTTTCGCGGGTTAGAGTAAACGGTGGTGTGGCCGTATCCACACCTGGCGCCCAACATTGTTTCGTATCGCTTTCGAGATCCGCTCTGCCACCCGATCATAACTTTGCTACGTTATTCAGTCCCGCCTCACGACCCGGGGAAAATCATATCGAGAAATAGCGTCGCACTTCTTAAGGGGATCCTGGACAGGCGACAATTACCGACAAAACAGTCAGGGCTCGTTCTTTGAAACGGCTTTATAGATTGCAAAATCCTTTTGCACGAGTAAAGTATAGGTACTAATGAAGAGTGGGAATGTAAAAAATTAGTGATAATTGAAAAAAAATGTAAAAATGCTGTCACCCCTTATAACCATATTTTCTAATATAAACAGTTGTATAGGTTATATGTACGAAATGAAATGTTCCCACTCTTCAGAATACGTGCATAAACAATAACGTACCGTTGAAATTGAGATTGAAAGCCTGAAAAAAAAATTTGGGCTTCGAAGAAATCGCATATATTTTCCACAAAAATATACACGCAGACTAGTAACCAAAGATGGCGCGGCAATCGAACAAAGACAGATGTCATTTTGTTAGACAAAGACAGATATAGGAAAAACAAAATTAGAAATGTTGACATTATCGACATCGAGGAAGTTCGGCCGTCAGTCCAGCATCCCCTGTCTCTTCTAAATTGGAACGCACAACGTTATTCTCCCGCCTTATTCTCTCACCTAACCTCTTCCTCTCTCCAATACATTTAGCGCTCTTTTCCTACACTATTTAATATTTCCCTACTTTATCTATTATCCTATCTCAAACTTAAGTTATTCTTTCTACCTTTCTATTGATTTAGCGCCTACTTCGCCTCCTATTTCTCTCTAAACTCTAGCCTAACTTATCCGCAACTCGCACACGCATGCACAACACACGCTCCACTAACCGACTCCGCCTGCCAAATATTAAAATTATTTAATTTTAACATATGTAACATATTCTAGTGCACGCCGAAAAGAACGCGTTTAAGGTAGTTATAGTCCGTAACAATACAATAATCCAAAATTGTATACTCTAAATTCTAAACATCTGACTATTTACGGTTACAGGCTTTTGAATAGTTCTTTCCCTTACACACAAAACAAAAGACAATTCTTTTATTTTTCTCCTCCAGTCGTTTCTTTACATCAAATAATCACGAAAATCGCGGTCTATTTATTATTGTATTTTTAAATCTCTAAACGCGGTTAATAATTTTGGTTTTTTTTTACTAGTATTCTTAAAGTGACCTACTATAAATCCGTTTTTTTATCATTTTCTTAAAATTTGTTTTAATTATTAAAATTTAAAATACGAAATTTTCGTATGCTTCGTGCATGCAACACATGAAAAAAATGCAATTTTTGATAGCGATTATTTCGCGTTCAGGACGGTCAATTACTTTTAATTTGTACATGCGTGTAGATACCATATCCATTAACATATAGTAAAATTTTCAAATTTTTCTTATAAATTGCGATTTACGGATTAACTACCTACCGGACCAACAAATTCATTGTTTTCCTACATTATCCGTTCTCAGTAGATTGCCAACATCGTTCGCAGACAAATATAAATATTTAATAAATAATTATTTATTAAGCAAAATATTTAAAGGTAAAATTAATTCAATAATTATTATTTGAAAAAGATGTTGAAGAAAGTAAAGAAAAAATAAAGAATAAAAAAACCTAAATTCTAAATCTATAAATTATTGTCAATTATCACTTTGAAAAAATAAAGAATTATCAAGATATATATATATATATATATATATATATATATATACACCGGGTGTCTCAGACCACCCGCCCACCCCTTTTCTTTCAAAAACTAAGCATTTTAGAGAAAAACGTTCCAGACCAAAATTGTATGGTTTTGAGGAGAACATAAGATGGTGTCATTGATTTGACCTTGGGTGGCATCGTTAAGGACAGGTCAAGGACACCTTTAGTTTCTTAAATGGAATTCCCTATTTTTTATTGCATATTCTTATAGCTTATGTCGAGAGCTTTCCAAAACACTATAATTAAGTATTTTTTCATTAAGTACTTTTCGAGTTATAAGGCTTGAAAGTTACAGTATTGTGACATAATATTTTGTTAAGTATTTATAATTCAAATTCTTTACTTTTTATTTTTGCAAACAATATGAATCAATTAATGTAAAAAAACAAAATTTTCTTACAGAAAAACTTGTTGTGTAAGAGTGTAATGTGGCACAGTAGATAGCGCACTAATCTACAAAGCTGAAGAACAATTTTAATGGCATTTATAATGAGTGTAATTCTTTTACCGTTGTTAAGAACAATGTCTAAAATACCTGGAATAAACTATTGCGCGCTGTGTAATTTCTGTAGGCATTCATATTCATGCATTAAGTATCATTCTTACAGAATATCTATTCACCAAGTACATATTGAATTACTTTCGACAAAGACTTAAATTTAGCGTATAGCGTATACCATAAAAGAAGAGTACCGATTTTTTATTGCGTGATTGATAGTTATTGAAAAATTAAGATCAATCAAACGTTTCGGCCCTAAATCGGGCCCTCTTCAGTGACTCATATAAAAGTTAATGTGAACGCAACGACGCGGTCAAGTTTCTTTAGATCCTACCTCTTTCATGGATAACATCTCCATGTCTCCCTTACATATACGGGAAAAGTGGTTTTTGAACTTAACCAGCATTTCCATCCCTCGCGTCGTTCAGGGCTTACTCCAGCTTAGTGACGGTTTTAGCCTTCCTTTCTCTGACAATAAGAGCAAGATATGCTTTGAATTTATCAAGAGAGTGGAGAGTAGTGCCTATAGATTACCGGCCATTAAGAAGGTTGGTCTGAGGAACTACACCTCCGCAATTGTTAACAGGCTTTTCGATTCCAACCCTTTTTTGAACTCCATTGGGTTGGAGTTAAGATCAGCCTTGAGAGATACCAACATCTTTATCCGTCACCATCCCGAGATCATTTTCACGAGGGCAGACAAAGGCAACACTACAGTAGCTATGCTGAAGTCTGAATACATGGAGAAAATGAGTGCTTTACTAGGAGACGAAACCACCTACTCCATTATTGACAGAAATCCTACCAGAAAGATCATTTCAACGCTGGTCTCCCTCCTTACGCGTTGGAAAAATAAAAAATATATCACACAGCAGGAATATCGCTCTTTACATGTCAGTGACGGCATCTTACCTAGGGCTTATGGCCTACCTAAGATCCACAAACCCGATTGCCCACTCAGAATCATTGTGTCTTCTATTAACACTCCTCTGTATGACCTAGCTTCTTTCCTACAAAAGATCCTACACAAGAGTTTGCCTATAAATGGATCCAGCATCAAGGACAGCTTTACACTTGTCGAAAAGCTGAACAACAAAGAGTTTCCCCCTGCAGGGGGATCCATGGATTCGTGTTATTCTCTTTAGATGTTATCTTGCTTTTTACGAATGTTCCGACCGACTTGGTCATTGACAGCATATGTAGACAGTGGAATCTCATAGGTCCAAATACTAAATCACCGCGTGAAGAATTCGTAGCCGCTATCAAGTTCGTGCTTAATTCTACATACTTCACATTTGACAATGTCATTTATAGACAGACACACGGCAGTCCTATGAGGTCTCCTCTGTCCCCTGACGCTGCGGAGATTGTCATGCGGGATCTTGAGAATAAGGCCTTGAAACGACTCAAATATATTCCACCTTTTTATTTCCGCTATGTCGACGACGTTGCATCTGCGGCGCCCCTTAACTTCTTACAAGACACCCTTAACATTTTTAACTCCATTCACAACAGGCTACAGTTTACAATAGAAATTAGTAATAACAACACCCTTAATTTTCTCGACACCACGATAATAGCTGCCAATGAAAGACTGATATTTGACTGGTATCACAAACCGACCTTTTCTGGACGATATCTCAGCTTCTTTTCCAGCCGTCCAAACGGCCAAAAGAGGGGAGTAGCTATGGGTTTAATTGACAGGGCCTTCAGGCTATCCCATACTAGTTTTCACCAAAAAAATCTGTCTCTGGCCATCACTCTCTTACTCGAGAATGGTTATCCATTGGACTTCGTTTTCGCGATAATTGTGAAAAAGCTTAGTTCTCTTTTAAAAAAATCTATCTCGGGGCCTCTGGACGATGAAAAGCCAAGCGGTAGGTCTTATCTGTCTGTTCCGTACGTAAAAAATATATCAGAAAAATTCACTCATCTCGCCAGTACTATGGATGAAAAACTGAGTTTTTACGGCTTTAATCGACTAAACGGCCTTATTAAAGTACACAAGGACACTGTCGATAACGTTTCTTAAAGCAACGTGGTGTATCGCATCAACTGCGCTGACTGTGATGCTTCGTACACGGGACAGACGGGTAGACTATTGGAAACCCGTATCAGGGAACACAAGCGAGTAAATCCGGGAGGACATTCTGTAGTGCAGATGCATTGTATGGATAATAACCATAAGTTTGATTTCGGGAGTGCCGTAATCCTTGACAAAGAACCGTTTCACATTAAACGCTTGGTTTCTGAAATGTTGCACATCGGTCTGCAGCACAACCCCTTACAAAAAAGTATTACTAACTGGTTAGTAATAAATACTTATTTTGTGTATTAATAATACTAAAATTAAGTATTTATTAGTACTTGAATCACTGTGATTCAAGTATTGCACAGTATTTTATTACTGGCCAGTAATTTATGAAAGTAGTATTTAATACAGGACGAGTATTGAATACTTAGTATTAAATTTCTGATGAGAAAGCATTTAATACTAGGTGAAAATTACTTGTGTAATAAATACTTGTGTTGAATTACTGATGAGTATTTTAATGTTAGTACTGAAGTACTGGATCGAGGATTCCATGTGTAATAAATCACTGTCCAGTATTTTAATGTTAATACTGAAGTACTGAACTGAATATTCCATGTGAAATTAATCACTGTGTTTAGAAAGTACATGTGAGAATTTGGAGCGCGACACATGTGCGACACATGTGCGACAGGTGGCACGCGCGGAATTTCGGAGCGCGAAGCGTAAACAAGGAGTGGGGGGCGCGAAAGCCTCGATCGCGATGCGCGACCGAATAGACAAGTCAGTCGTTCGCTATATCCGAAAACGTGTGGACACATTACGGATGTTCAGAATCTAGCATTCATTCGAATTGAGAGTAAGGACGAGCAGAGCTGCCTGGGGTAAAACAGAGCCATGAGCAGAGAGAAATCTATAGACAGATTTATTTGTTATCGACCTCCCGCGTTCCCTGATTTTACCGCGCAAACAACGACGTTCTCGTCGTCACTTCTTTTCGGACACTCAACGAGGGAATTCCGATACTGAAGATGAGGGCGGCCATTAATCACGAGATATAATTTTGAAGGACGAGGATCCCTTGCGTCGTCTTTGTACTTGATAAGTATACTTCTGATGAGAGAATTCCAGTTATTTTATTCTGGAACAAGCCTAATTGTGGCTAATTGCAAGGTAACCTTATCATTTTATTTGGTAAAACCGTTCTTGGGTTGACATTATATTCAGGCTTTACAAAGCCTAATCCTCGGATATTGGTTACTGAGAATATCGTGAGATTTTCACGATTCCATATTGTGGTGCACATAAATTAATACGATCGAAAGGCCTTTTCTTGAGAGCTCAGTTCCTTCGTGAACTTTCCAGAAGACGAATAGTATAAGGCTATTCGTGCTTCTATCCGTATAACATATAGCGTGTTTGACGCGTGACAACGAAATATCTGAAGCGTGAAACATCGCGTGATTTGAGCGTGATATACCGTGTTAAACTAGTACGACATTGCGTATCCTAAGCATATTACATAGCGTGTACTAAACGCAACTAAAGTCAATATAGATATTATTATCGAATGATACAAATAGTAAATACTGTCGAAATTCTCAGTTCGAGAAACTATATTCCTTTATTAACCGTAATTAGTAATATTCTATTTCTTGCGTGTCTTTCTGTATATATTTTGGTAATAATTTGCGATATTAGTTTATATTCAACTTATACAAGTTTATCCAGGTCAATAATGATTGAAGTACAATACACTATTATAACATATCGAATTCTAAACATGATCTTTCCTTTCAGAAATTATATTCTTATTCGACGTTCTATGCTGAAACATTACTTGAACTTAGTAGTTTGATTGGTAAAAGAAAGATTAAATATCCGATAAAAAGTAACAAAGAAAAACCTTCAATCATAAATGACAACGATTCAATATAATCCTTTACTGCATTGTTCTTGTATGATTTACGTTCTTTGCATATGTTTATGACTGTTTATTATATTGTGTATTAATTTGATTTCGTTTAAATTACTTTGACATTGTCTAATTGAGATAAACATTAATTGCTGCATTCCTGCACAACCGAATGTAATACTTTGATTTTGTTATCAAATGATATAAACATTGTACTTTTATTTTATGAATACTGGTAAGGTTTTTGGCAGTTTTCCTTACCCGTGCAACGAATGTTGGTATTCGATGAGATTCTGCCAAATAAAGTATAATTGATTCATTAAGCAATTAAGGCATCGTTCTTTCCTTCCCTTCGAATAAAAGGTTTGATACTCAGTTCCTATACACACTGACCAGTACTACAATTTGTATAGAAACATTATAATGGGTAATTCCTGATAATATTAAGGAAGAGAGATAAAAGTAAGGCACAAATACATTTTATATGAAGGTCTGTACTAATTCGTCGTGATAAAAGTGTACAAGTTTTGAAATAGTACTGCGGATGGGGTCAATTTACAAACAGACACCGATTTTTTAGGCGAATCATACCTCCCGCTAATAAATAAAATAAAACGTCGCTCTAATGTTTAGGTAAATTCGCCGAATTCTCTTGTTGCGACCGTGTGCTCGGCGATGTATATTTGTTTATAATTTGTTATACGTTCGCGTGCTCTTGAGATCATGGCGTGCGCTTTGACCTTACATTCGGGGCTCAGATGCCGACGAACACACATCGTTCTCCACACAGCGAATATGTCAGAGACGTCTGAATGCGGTTCGTGTAGCACGCAGTAAGTTACGCATATTTTCCATCTTTTGTAATGGCTTTAATGATTACTGCATTCGGTAGTTCTGCCGGGCCACAGTTTGCTGCTTTCGTCTCTCCCTTTTTGATTCCCGCTGTCAATGCTACGTAGGTGCTTACCGGACATACGCGCCGTAACATACACTTGAAGAGAAATCTGAACGCGCACCTAACGTCTTCAAAATGTGAATCATAATATCTGCGCTTGCGTTTCGCATTAACCGATTGCGATACCATTGTACGCGTGCATATCCGATATTGTAATCAGCCCATTGCGATACCGCGTCGTTGCGTTCACATTAACTTTTATATGAGTCACTGAAGAGGGCCCGATTTAGGGCCGAAACGTTTTATTGATCTTAATGTTTTAATGTTTTGACTGCAAATATAATTTTTCCACATATTCGATCCTGCGTCGGCTCTCATAGCCAATTATTTCTTAACTTGTTTTACTCAGAGCCTACCTACCATATACGTTTGTTTATTGAAAAAGCATTTCGTGAGGGGCCGAATCGTGAGAGGCAAGGGGACTCACGCAAATCAAGCACCCCGAATCGTGAGAAGCTAATAAAATAATGAATATGCAATAAACAGTTACACAACAAATTTTTTTTTCAAGAAAAGTGTTTTCTTTACATTAATTGATTTGTATTGTTTGCAAAAATAAAAAATAAGGAATTTGAATTATAAATACTTAACAAAATATTATGTCACTATACTGTAACTTTCAAGCCTTATAACTCGAAAAGTACTTAATAAAAAAATACTTGATTATAGTGTTTTGGAAAGCTCTCGACATAAGCTATAAGAATATGCAATAAAAAATAGGGAGTTCCATTTAAGAAACTGAAGGTGTCCTTGATCTGTCCTTAACGATGCCACCCAAGGTCAAATCAATGACACCATCTTATGTTCCCCTCAAAACCATACAATTTTTGTCTGTAACGTTTTTCTCTAAAATGTTTAGTTTTTGAAAGAAAAGAGGTGGGCGGGTGGTTTCAGACACCCGGTATATATATATATATTACACAAAGAATTAAATAATAAAATAAACATTAATATTTCAAAATATTAATATTAAAACATCATTTTTATAATTTTTTCAGAAAAATTAAATCAGTTATCAAATAGAATATTTTATTTCAAGAAGTAATGTCATTACTATTAAAGTTATGAAGAGGGGAATCCACTGTGACAGTCGGAAAAAAATGCTATATATTTTCGTGAATTTTTTTCGCGATAACTAATAAATTAAAAATTAAATTAAATTAAATCAAGCTCGTATGTATCAACAATAATATAAAAAGTTAACGACCAATAACGAGCATGGAAGTTGTTAGATTCAATAAAGGTTTATTGTTTCTAACAATTAATTAATTAAGAACGTTTTGACAACACAGTGCCTTCTTTAGCCAAAATTAATAAAAAAATACACAAATTGTCACAAGTTACAAGTTTCAACATCCAAGAAATAATAATAAGAACATCAAATAAATACTGAACAGAAAAAAATTGAAATCGCTGTACATTTGTGAGATCCTTAATTGGAAATTGTAGTCGAATGATAAAATCCATGATTGATTCTTTAGTCGTAACTTACCGATCAATAATCCAAATAGTAATGTCATAGAAATCCTTATTGAACCATCAGAATTCATGGACAACTTAATTGATCCCTTGGAACAAACCAATGATAAATGGTTTGTCAACCTTCCTAATATTGATATTCCTCAGGAGGTTTCCAAACTGTTACAATTTGGGAACAATTTCTGCCTCTCAAATAGTTTTAACAGAAAGAAAACCATACACAAATTTATAAAAGATATAGAAGGCAATACGAAACGTTAAAATATTAAAAATCACCCAAAAATTAGAAACGTTGTCATCCCACAACTACGCAACTATTTATATTCTAAACCTACCACAAACAACATTAATACAAAACTTTTAACTATGTACAAAATAACTCAAAGATTTTGTAAAAACAGTCCTAACATTATTTTTACACGTGCGGATAAAGGTAATATCACGGTTGCCATGAATAAAGAATTCTATATTCAAAAAACAAAAAACATGTTACAAGATACAAATACATACACAATCATTAAAAAAATCTTGCTAAACAAATTGAAAAGAATTCTAATATTTACTTAAACTATGGTTGAAAAAAGTATATTTTCAAACAGGAATATTTTAAAATGCATTCCAGTGTGACGCACCACTACCCAAAACTTATGC